AGATTTTAAAACTGTGGGGAGTTACAAATCGAGGTTTCCCACATTTATATTCTGGAACTGTTATGAAGTGCTTGCGAGCAAGCGTGGCACAGTGGCAAGTAGCATTATTTTGCTGCTTAAGCTCGAAGGTTGGATTACCAAGGTGTAGTCAGCCGTGTTTATTCACTGCTTTCGGTGGTAAATCAGCTTGTCTCTAAACAATTCTTTAGAAATGGGACTGTGGACAGTCTTTCTAACGAGGTAATTGTGGTTAACATTTGCTGAACTACTTCAAAACGCCATCGCATATTAATGAGGATTATTATGGATAAATTTTTATTTTTTCTTGTTTTGCTCAAGTGGTTGGTGAGTCAGCTGACAGACTTACATGCAAGTTCGTTGCCTCTCTTCCTTCTCCACAGCGCCTTTTACCTGCGAGGGTGTTAAACTCACCTTCGTGATAAGCGGAAGATATCATTTATCAACGAGTTCTTTTTATAAGTAAGAAAAAAATCACTGGAGCATCGATCGAAGGGCATCGGAGCATCGACATTTCCGCGAAAGAAAAATGAGGTGAATATGTTTCGGGGAATTTTCCCATTTTTTGAGAATTTAGGACGAATGCTGCTGAATTGGCCACGAAGCAGTATAATGAGAAGGCCGAACGAAATGCGGTTCATGAGGAATACGTTGACCACCTGCAGCTCGGTCCTTTCACATTCAGAGAAACTCTTACGGATTATCGAAATGTTTTTATTGCAATGGTCTGCACATTGGTTGTTGCATCCATTATCAGGTACCACTCTAATTTACTAGTGTGTTTTGCAGTTTAAGAATTTGAATATCAGGGCTTTTTGATCTTGCAATGATAAACGATCCAGCGTCGAACGTATCATCCTGATAAATGGGGGGATCGCCCCGGATCTGACATGTCCTAGTCATAATTTGGTCTCTTTTTAATTTGTCCAAATTTTGTTTTTACTCGTAAATCTGTTATTTCTGAAACTGGTTTTGTACTGACGAGTACAGCCACCGGTTTTCGCAATTTACTGGTTCTACTTTACGCTATTGTGTCTAAATTTAGCTTTCTTTTGACTAAATTACGAAATTTATAATCAAATTTGGCAACACCGGCCTGAATCTGTTTATCCTTCAGTCATTTTTAGCGATTTTCCAAGTTGATGATTCTGGTGCCTCCTTAGTAAAACAACTTCCTCCTTCCATGATTAGACACTGATAACAGTAAGCTTGTGGCTGGGGGGTTTGGGAAAATTGGATTTTGACCAAAACGTATTGCTTAGGAAGAGGTGGGGCGCATACATAGGAAACAGGTGATGGGTAATAACTGGAGGTAGGCAGCTTAGGATCAAAGAGTCAGGCATAGCTCGGCGTTGGGACATCCCAGTAGCATCAATAACACGGGGTACTCAGACCGGTCATCCGAACAGTTTCGGTATATTGCTGTGAGGAAATGTTGCTGTTTTATTTAGGGTACTGGTCAGGTAACGCTTATCTATTTTGCTATGGTCGCTAAATCTTTTTTTTGTAATCTTAAAATCGTCGAGATGCGTATTCCACTTCTTTACCTTCCTCTACGAGTTTCTTGAGTGTTAGGAATTACGAAAGTCTCGAAGATTCGTGTCTACGAAATCGAAATTTTGGGGGTAAAGCATGTTGAGCTGTTCTTTACATTCACTTTCAGAGCGTTTTGGTTCCGACTTACTCAAGTGACAGCTTCTCGTGTGCTTCATGACATGATGTTCCAGCGAGTTGTTGGCACTCGAATTATTTTCTTCGATAAAAATCCAATAGGTAAATTTATCAGCCAAAAATTACCGTAGACTGTTGGTTTATGACAGAATTATTTTCTTGGCTTCTTACTATTGTGGAAAAAACTGTAGTTTTTCAAATCCCTGGTGCTGTTCGCTTGCTGGATCTGATTTGACAAGCGAATAAGGATCGAAATATCGTTTTTTCGCTCACATTCATGTTCTCCGTTTGCCTTCATCTCAATCTGATAACTTGCAACTCGTGGGAGAGAGGGGAAGCTCCTTATTTATGCAGTGCCATCTCTCAATCTATTGTTTTTCAGGTCGTATCTTGAATCGTTTCTCGAAGGATATTGGAACTTTGGATGACCAACTTTCTTTTTCATTTTTCGATTTCGCAATGGTTCGTGTTTAACTGTTTCATCTACATTTTCTACATTTTTTTAAAATAATTAGTTTGTAAGAATATTCGGGAATTTTGACCTGTAAAGATTCTCAGCACTTCAGACATATTGAAAATAACTTCCAGTGGAGAACTTATAAATATACATAGGATCAAATGTTCTTGTCACGCGTCATCATATCCCCAAAGAAGTTTTAAAAAGTTTACGGACTGACTGCATCGTGAAATATCTTCTTATACATGACACCTAATTCTAATCTTCTTACTCCACTATTTAACTTCTCAGCTCAGCTGGGTCTCGAAATTGCTTTTCTGCTCGTATTTACGTGGATGGTCGCTTCACATATATGAACTCACATATGTGCAGCATATATTCTGCCAAGGGAGCGAGGGAGCTGAAATCCCGAAATTCAGTAATTTCACATCTCTGACTGTTATACTCGCTATGTCTTCGAAACGGTCGTCATGAATAGCATAGGGGCAGGACACGAATAAAGGCAGTTATATCGTGATCTGGTTGTTTAGTAGAGATAGTCTTAGGTGCATCCCAGTGACAGAGATGACTTTATTCTGCTGGGTTTGCATGCTTCAACAGCCCCAGAGGCAGTGGTTTATGATATCTTTGTATTATAAGTTGGGGGCCAATTTAGAAAGGTATCGAGAGATTTTGTGTTCAAACGGCCGCTTCATGCACTTTCACGACAAGCTGGTATTCAAGTATCTATGATGATAGGAATTCTCCTACACCTTTGTTTTCCAGAAACTTCAGAATTACTAATAACTAACCCTCAGTCAGGAAGAGGTTGTATTAAATAAATGCTCTAATACACCACTAGAATCGCATGCTTTCCTCGGTTTTATCAACTGAATATGAAGTTGTGAGGGAAAACGGCGGGGGATCTAAATTTTTGAAAATGTAGCCATTATTACAATATCAGTAAGTGCTAGCAGCTCTTCTTAGCTACTATCAGTGCTTTTTGTTTCAGGGTATGCTAACATTTTTTGGCTATTTTATAGTTATTATAGTCATTAATCCGTTAATACTCGCAATCACTGCGCCACTCATTTTGGTGTTCATTTTCCTGCGCAGTTTCTACTTATCAACATCTCGAGATGTAAAACGTCTGGAAGCAACCAGTAACTTTTTTCTTAATTAATTTTTGATGGGACTTAATCGAGAGTTGAGCAGGCAAAACTTTTTTTAAAATATTTAAAATACCTGTAGCGTAATTCAAAGGTTTACCATGCATATTCGTATGATTTGCCAAGTAGTCACATTGTTTCTCGTTCGCGAATTGAAGACCGCAGTTAGGGCATGAATACGGGGCCCAATTGCGTTTGGTATTTATAAAATCGAGAGCTCAGAAAAACATTAATAGCCCAGCTGTTTTCATGCTCCTGTCGGTACTGTTGAAACCAGCTTTTTTATTAACACAATCTCTGGCTTGCTTCCCTCTATCTGGAGTGCCTAATTAATCCATAGTCTGATTTCTTCTCATTGTAGCTGCCAAATTTTCCATTTGCTTTGACGAATGCTTTCATCCTGGCGATTTATCCTTCGCTTCGTCTCTTGAACGACTTACCAGCTCAGCGAGTTCTCCCAAAAATAACCTTTAGCTTGTTTGAGATGTCCTTGATGCTCCAAAAACAACCTTTAGCTGGTTTGAAATATCCTTGATGTGTAATAAGCATCATCACCTCTTCTAAAACCTTATCACTTTCAATTGTGACGTTTGTTTTCTTATCATCCATGAAGGTCATCGTGGTGATATATATATAAAGTGTAAAAATTAGTTAACGGAACAGGAATGTTTTGGTCCATCGGATCGCATATATTCTATTCATCACCGCTGAACCTCATCAGTGCAACGACTGCATTGACTGTTTGAGATTCTTTAAAATATAAATGTGCATAAAAATATGCGTAAACAGAAAAAACTCTATCTAAAATATTAGTGTAACTTTCTTGTGCAGATTAGTATTTGAAAAAAGGTTTTAGTGTATTTCGTTTTGCAGCTCGAAGTCCGCTGTATTCTCATATCTCGTCTGTAATGCATGGTCTGGTACTGGTCCGAGCATTCTCGAATCAACAATTTGTAATCAGTGCATTCCATAAATATCAGGTACCAAGACCAAAAGTTACACTGAAGGCATGCTAGTTCAACTTGTTTATGGATTTGTTGAAGGCTGGTCTCATATTTGCCCCAAAACACGTTTTATAGTGTGTATCCAATGGGTAGTTGCATGTTTTGTGCTACTGGTCAAACTAGCAGTGGTCATCATCTGAGCTTAATGAAAATTTCGCGTTTTTTGGAAGAAGGTGAAAACTGAAAAAGTTTTTCCCACAGAAGAAAGTACAGCTGCCTTCTACCACTTTAGTAGTTGCTGCTAACGTTTGCAGTATTGGTATCAGTGGTGATGTAACAGTAATGGCAAAATTACTTACAGTGGTGATAATGACAATGATAATAAGAATAGTAGTAATATTAGTGATTACGATAATAACAGCGCAATAATAATAGCAGTGACAATAATAATAATAATAATAATAATAATAATAATAATAATAATAATAATAATAATAATAACAGTGA